GGGGGGGCGCGGATCAGGCCCCACGCGTGCATCCCCGGCGCTCCGCCCACGCTGTTTCCCCCCCCTTCCGGTCCCCAGCTGCCCACGCTTCAGCCCCGCCTCCTGCACGAGGTCTCGCCCCGCTCTTCCCACTGTCCCCGCCCAGCTCCCGGTTTCCACCAATTGCCGCCTTGGCCCCGCCTCCCACCCCGCCCCTCGACCCGTGCCTTTCTCCATCCGGGTTTATTTCTCTCGTGCTGTCTTGCAAGCATGGAGCTGCCTGGTGAGCGCGTATCTGCTCCCGCAGCTTCGTCGTCTTCTGGGGATCGCTCGCAGGTCACGGTGTCCAGGGAGCTGCTGACCGCGGGGAGCTCGGGTTCGCGAGGTGAGCGGCGGCGGAGGGACCCCTGGGCTGGCGGGGCCGGGGATTCCGCGGGGCCCGGGACGCTCCGGAGGGCGGGGTACTGTGGCGGCCAGGGGTGCCTAGGACACCGGGGTGCTCCGGGGGACCGGGGATGCTTCGGGAGGCGCGGATGCTGCGGAGCCCGGGTCGCTCCGGAGGGCGGGGTACTGTGGAGCCCGGGGCTCCGGGGCCAGGGATGTCTAAGAGGCCGGGGCGTTCCGGGCCCGGGACTCTATGGGGCCGGGGCGCTCCGGGGGACTAGGGATGCCTGAGAGACCAGGGCGCTCCGGGGGACCGGGAATGTTTCGGGAGCCCGGGACGCTCCGGAGGCCGTGGTACTGCGGAGTCCGGGGTTGGGGCAGGGGGTGCCTAGGAGGCCGGGATGCTCCGGGGGACCGGGGATGCCTGGGAGACCGGGGCGCTCCGGGGCACTGGGACTGCTGCGGGGAGGCGGAGATGCCTAGGAGCCCGGGAGGCTATGGGGCCGGGGTTGCTGCGGAGCCCTGGATACTGAGAAGCCTGGAGCGCTGAGGGGGGCGGGCGGGCAAGCTGAGGAGCACGGGGCGCTGCGGGGAGGCGGGGATACTGTAGAGCCTTGGATGTTGGGGGGCGTGGGTGCTGAGGAGTCAGAGATGCTCCGGGGGCGGGGACGCAGGGCGGGGGGGAGTATGCTGAGGAGACCGGAACACTGTTGGGGGTCGCGGGGGTTGTCGGTGATAAACTATGCTAAAACTATGCTATCCTGGGCCGGGCAGTTCTTAGGGAATGGTACAGGGAGGACCTTGGCTACCTTGGCCAGGATAGTAGGTACCATTTTTAATATTTGTCTTAGGCACGCCCTCCTCATTGTCACCTTGGTGGAGGGAGACGCGTGTACGGGAAATCCACTCAGCATTTCAGATAGTATGGTACAGAAGAGAAAAGCATGGGTTCATCCAGGCATGGGGGCTCACACCTAAATCCAGCATTTGAGAGCCAGAGGCGGGCAGAGGGAGACGGAATGGAAATTGTAGGTTCAAATCCCTACTCCGCAGTGGGACTTCTTTAGGCCTCCGTTTTCACATTTTGTTTCAAACAGGTGGGGCTACACGTAGAATTTTAACGAACACATAAAAGTTCTTGTGTCTGCGTATTAAGTATCTTGGGAACCTTTGGAGAGCAAAGTGTATCTGAGGAACTTGAACTCCTGATTGCCAAAGCTTGTGTAGTGAGTGTAGTGTTAACCAGCTCAAGCCTTCCCGATCCCCCAACGCCTGCGGAAGTATCCTGAGGATCCCGTTTTATGAAGGAAAAAACCGGCATGATGGTAGTCACTAGCAAAGCTAGATATTGACCCCAAGCTCTGGCTTTGCTCCGAACGTGTAACACTAATCAAAGCACTAGGCTTTAAGAAGCATTCCAAGTCTCCCGGGTCATTTCTCCTTTGAGAGTGACGGGATTTTTGATTTAGAAAGTAAAGAGATTTTTCTGTGCATGAAAAGGCTTGAGCGGTCAGTGTATGGGATGGACAGTTGGTTTGTACATAAAGAATCAAAATGTTGTAGAGTGTCCCTTCTACCCCCGGGTATGGAATGGTCCAGGTTGAAGACAGTCCCAGGAGCAGTTACTGATGGTCCCCTCTCATTCTTCTGAAGTGCTAGGGTCATCCGTGGCTGAGTTGCACTTCTGGCTCGGCTGCATTCATGGTCTAAATTGTGTGTATTTTCAGGTATCTGGGACCAGTTGCTCATCAGCTCTAATAAGCCCCAGCCCAGGAAGACCTCTACTGTTCAAACAGTTCGGATGCAGAGGAGCCCTTGTAAGTACAGCCTTTCCACTCTAGGGAGCGCTCCCCCAGTTTAGGCCAGTTACATTTGATGGGATAAGTTGTCGTGGCTCATATCAGACCACAGAGTCAGATACCGCAAGTCTTGTATTGTGTAAATCCTTGTCTAAGGAGTAAAATTTCTCATCGTAATCTCCCTGAAGATATTTCAGAATACATTTCTTTTTCCTTTTTGAAACTGAAAGTACTGTTGCTGCCTGCGATACAGTGGGAAGGCCGAGGCAGGAGAACGGTAGCATGTTGGAGACCAGCTAGAACAGTTCTCAAGACTCACTTGTTTGGAAAAGCACTTACCGTTCACATGATCTGGAATATTAAATATGGTTCTGGGGAACACTATTGTGAACGGTTTTGCTTTGATGCAACTTGAGTAGCCCCTGTGTAGCCTGTGTTACAGAAGTGTTCCTTCTGTAAGCATTTCTTCCTAAAATAAAACATTTCCTTAAACGGCATAAGGCTATTAAGATAGTAAACCTGGCCGTGGTGGTATAAACCTTTAATCCCAGCCTGGTCTGGAACTCAGTCTGTAGACCAGGATGGCCTTGAACTTGAGATCTTTCTGCCTCTGCCTCCTGCGAGCAGGGATTACAGGTATGCAACACCACCACCTGGTAGAATTCTCCACTCAGGGTCTATGTTGCTCAGGTCGGCCCTGAACTCCCTGTAAGCCTCACTGTAAGGATCAGGCACTCGTAGATCCATTAAGTCATTCTGCCTGTTTTCTCAGTCCCTTAGTTGAATGCCAACCTTCTACAATTTTATACTTTCAAGGTGGAGGAGAAACAGAACATGTGAATAATAATTGCTGAATTCGTGTGGGCTTGTTGCTCTGGTAGTCCCAAAGAGGGGCTGGGACTGTGACTGGTGGGTAGAGCCCTTGGCCTGGCAAAAGCAAGGCCCTGGTTCAGTCCCCAGCCATCTGAGCTGACCCCTCTGACCTTCCCACGCGAGGCAGCTAAGAAGCTGGGCCTGAGTTGTTGATGGGTTCATTGCTCCTCCGAAGTGTTCACCAGGAGTTGTGGAGTATGGACTTGACTAACATGGCTGCATTCTGTGTTTGCTCTCTAGTGTTAGACCAAGTGCAGGCGTTCCTCCCACAGCTGGCCCAGGCCAATGAAAAGCTTCGGAAGGAAATGGCAGTTGCTCCAGCGGATCGCTTCGATATTGAAAACACCGAGGGGACATCCGGGAACATCGTACAGATGGTAACTGCCCTGTTGACTCACGTGATGGGATTAGTGTACTTGCCACGAAATGGGGGAAGATAATGGGAAATTTTACTCTAAAGTAAAACGTGGTTTTTAAATTGTCGAACAGTTCTCTGTTGCCCTGTTTCACGTGCTGTTCAGTGCTGGGCACAGCTGTTGACATTAACAAGAAAGCGGGACATTGTACGTTATGGCCACTAAAGCCTTTTTAAGGCAAGAGGCTATGCATTTGACTCCAAGTTCAAGGGGAGTGTTTTTTTCATAGTAAGAAGTTGTGCCTGGGACTCTCTGGTGGCAGAAGCTTGCAGCAGGCTAGAATTTTGTATTTCATTCAGTATTTAAATTTTTCCCCTTTTCAGCCACTTTCTGGGGGTATAGGAACCATTCTTAGTTCAGGAGCTGGACAGAACCAGGGAGCAGGTAGGATCCAGCCTGCTGGGTATAATTTGCTGGTCCTTGCTCAGAAATGTAAATCTCATTAATGCAGGAGCTGGGGGGTTGTCTTGAGGGAGTGGAGTTGGGTGTCCAGGCCTTACCTGAGGCCTAGGTTGGCCTCAAACTGTCCTGTCAATCTCCCCATTGCTGGGGTTAGAGGTTGGGATTGTAGCTGTGTTACCATGGCCAATGTTCCTATCTCTTGTTAAAATTTGAGGTGTTTGATGGGTTGCCTGATTCTAGCCTGGTGGTTCTCAACCTGTGGGCCTCCAACTGCTTTAAGGTCATCAGAAAACACAGATACTTACATTGTGGACCCCCCCCCCCCAATATAGGTGATTGTGAGCCACCATGTGATTGCTGGGACTTGAACTCAGGACCTAGAAAAAGCCAGTTACATTAACCTCTGAGTCATTTCTCCAGCCCTACATTATGATCCTAACAATAGCATAATTATAGTTATGGAGTAGAAATGAAATAGTTTTATGGATGGGGGTCACTACAGCACAAGAAACTATTAAAGGTCACAGCATTAGGAAGGCTGAGGCCCACTGCTCTAGTGCGTTTTTATTGAGAATGGTGTTGGGTGTGTACTAGGCAGGAGGGACTTTTTTTTCCATGTGCATTGGTGTCTCCCTGGCATGTCTGTATGAGGGTGTGATATCCCCTGGAGCTAAAGACAGTTGTGAGCCAGATGGTTGCTGGGAATTGAACCCAGGTCCTCTGAAAAAGCAGCTCATGCATTCAAGCGCTGAGCCATCTCTCCCGCCAGGAGGAGCCTTTTCAACAACATTAGTAAAATAAACCCTTCAAACCCACCCTGACTTTGCTCTGATGTCTTCTGGCCACCGAAAGTGTTTACCTGCCGTTCGTGTTAAGCTCACAGCCCAACCCGTGCTCAAGAATCTATAATAAATATTAGTAATTTCTTCTGCTTTTATTTAAAAATTACTATTTTTTGTGTGCATGTAAGTGTGTGTCTGTTACCAATGTGCGTGGCTGTGAGGGTCAGAAGAACTAGAAGAAAGGGTTAGATTTTCTGAAGCTTGGTAATGGCTGCTGGGACCTGGACTGGGTCCTCTGGGAGATCAGTAAGCAACCTTATCCACTGAGCCAGCCCTGCCACTTTATTAGAAAATGTTACAGAACTGCCCTGAAGTAGAGTTCTCAACCTGACACTTTCTACAGGATGTGGCCTTATTTGAGATGAACCGGTCAGATTCAAAGGAAGAGGACAGCTCAGAAGAGAGCTCTTATGACAGCTCCGCGGACAGCTCAGAGTCCGAAGATGAAGACTGCACCTCTTCCGAAGTCACTGTGGACAACATAAAGCTTCCGAGTGCAGAAGGTGGCAGAGGCAAGATTGAAGTGTTAGACAGTCCGGCAAGTAAAAACAAGAAGCAGTGAGGTAGAGGGACGGAGAGAGGCAGGAGGCACACCTGCGACCTGTGGGGAGGGTGGCCCCCAGGGTCCTGGGCTTCAAGGTCCCTTTGGCGCCTTATCAGTCAAAAAGGAAAATTCACAAATTTGGGGGTGTTGTACATAGAAAGTGTTCAGACTGCAGGGAGGGTCGTGCCCTTGGAAACTGAGAAGGGAAATATGGAAGAAAGACTGGATTGGCTACATGGAGATATTTGCCCAAGTTGGCATGGTCTGAACTGTGAGGTCTGGGACTCATTGAAGCTCATTCATGCTAAAATCAGGGTATTGGTTACAAAATTCCCACTTCCAAATTAGAGTCTGGTTTGTTTGTGTACCAAGGCAGGTTACAGTTTGTTATATAGGAACCAGGTTATATAGGAACTAGAGATTAGCCCAGGATAATGGCCCCCTGCCACTGAATGTGTTTTTATTTTATTCACAAAAACCAAAGCTGCCTTTTAAAGTTCTGAAATGGATAGCATGTGATTGACATCCTGTGAGGGTAGACTGACCTTTGCTCTTGCCGTGAAGAGGTTTAGTGTTTACAAATAACCTGCTATATCACTGTGTATGTGTTGGTGTATGAATTCATGTAAACATTGTCTTCGAACTGTAATGGTGCCGCAGCCTAAAGAATGACTCCAGTTCTCCTGTGGCTTGGATAGCTGTTCTGACTCAGTGGTATTGATTTATGAGGACTAGTGCCCAAGGTGAGAGAGAGGAGGAGGTACCCCCCTCCCAGGAGGCTACTTGAGTATAGGACCAGGCCCCGGCTACCTGGAGGGCATAGCAACAGTGCTCACCTACCTAGGTAGCTTGGCTTTCTGTGTGCTGATGCCTCCTCTGACCCTGGGTCTCTAGTTGGTCCTCTGGCAGCTGCTGCTCCTCCACAGTAAGGACAGGCAGGTTAGGGCATCAGCCCTGAACCCAGTCGTCCCCCTCCCTCCCCAGCTCTTGGCGCCTTCATGCATCTTCCTCTCTCATCCCTGAGCCTTAGAGATACTATTTCCCCTGAGAACTGAGCCATTGGGCTGCTGTACCAAACCAGGAGCAGACAATTGTGGAGCCTTCCTCCAAAAGCTATCCAGGCTGTCAGAAGGGCACACACTCCTGAGCCAGTGGTCAAAAGCATCCTGCATGACCCAAGTATTGTGTCTTAATTGGGTTCTCTGTTATCCAGTGACTGCACACATCCTGACCACAGCTGTGTGGTGTTTTCCATTTACCAGATTTTTAGACTGAAGAGACATCTGATGGGTGTAGTTCTGAGTTTGGTAATAAGCTTAGCCAGGGCTTTGCTTATATTGCCAGCATAGGGCCCCTGCTTAGGGACTGGGTATTCCTGTGACAGATAATGGCTTCACACCTTAGTGAGTGCTAAGCTGCAGAGCCACAGCACAGGCGTAAAAGAGTAAAGCGTTCTTTTTTACCATGTACAGGAGAACAGAGATTGTATAGTTTTCAAACTGGACATGCTTCCCAACAAACGCTGGACTCTGTATTTGGGAAGCTTGTGCATAATTACAAAGGGAAGGCGTGTTGGAGGCTGATGCATTTCCCTCTGCGTACTTGGTTACAGTTATATCTCAGAGAGGAAAGGTGGCAGGAACATCCTTAGGGATCGCCTATGTTGTAAAGACAGGTGAGGAAGGTTCTCTAGAACTCGGCAGCGGTCAGCGGCTGACCTGGGATAACTAGGTTATAGGAGGTGGCTGACAGCTCAGAGAGGGCCTAGGAGTGGCTCTAGGTGTGTCCCCTCGCATTTGAATAGAAAGCCCCACACAGGGCTGCTGTTCGTTTACCTAGTGCCCTTTTGCAGCTTGAAGGAGGCAGCCACTATGCACCCACCGGAAGTAGTGTCTCACTCCTTCTGGGCACTGTGGATCGGAATCATATAATGCCCATTTCGGTCCAGTTTCATGATGCCCAGAAAGAAGCGTGTTCCATGGCACACCTACCTGACTAGAGAGTCCGTCATGTGTGCAGTAGTCGGTTTGTCGTCACCATGGTTTGTAGTGGTTGCCGCCCGGTGCAAGAAGAGGCAGCTACAGTCTGACTGCAGTGCACAAATACTCAGAGGATAATTGTCTTAGTTTACTTTCCTATTTCTGTGAAGAGACGCCGTCACCAAGGCAATTTGTAAAACCGAGGGTTCGGTTGGTTTCTTCCCGGCCGTTTCAGAGGGTGAGTGTGTGACCCTCGTGGGGAGGGTGGCGGGCAAGTTCTGTAGCAGCACATCTCTTACCCAAGCTGGAGGCAGAGAATGAGACTGGGCCTGGCTGAGCTTTCGAAACTTGGAAGCGCACCCCTAGTGACACACCTTTTCCAAGAAGCCCCACCTCCTAATCTTTCTTACTAAGGTCCACCAACTAGGACCGTTGTCTCTTGAACTGACACGACACGATAATTGGGTACGTGTTCAGCAAAGCGGTGGCCGTCTCTGGATGTACATTTCTGTTCCTGACCTAACGAGCGTTCTAACAGGGAGGGGCCTGGACATATAACTGGAAGATGGTTGACTGTACCTGTGCTGATGCCACCACAGCTGAACCTGCTGTTACCTGTGTAACAAGCAGGTAATGGGGTTTTTGGGGTCCACAGCCAATGAAGCTGTATGGCCTGAACAGTGCCGCCCCCTGATGCTGACGGCTAACCACTGGGGATGCAGTGTATCCTGGTTTAGTCTCAGGTTGGTGTTCTAGTCTCCTGAAGGCAGATCCTATATTGTCATTAGCAGTGGGTAGATAACCAACCCCTTCTCTCAAGTTACACACCCAGGTCTAGTGTGGGAACCTCTGGGATCCATCTCCCTGGCAAGCAACAGCTAGGAAGGTAGACCACCTCTGACATTGGAGTTTTTACTAACAGCCTTGTGGTTGCTGGAAGCACCATTTATGCACAGGTGGTGTCTTTATTGAAATGTCGGCTGCCATTTACGCATTTGTGCCATTTCTGCAATCTGATTCTGTGACACTTTAGAGACTTGGCAAAAAGCCTCCAACATCCCCTGTTGGATATGCTGATTTTACTCTCAGTGAAGTGCACCCTGCTGGACCCACCTGCTTCAGGCTTTCCCTCTTGGCTAGCGGTTGCTCCAGTATTGTGGATATGGGCTTAACACCCTGTCTGCCAGTGAAATGAAGCCCACTGAAACTGTTGAGGGGGGTAGGCCTTAGGGACCCGTTCTCGAAGGAAAACATCAGGGCACTAGGCACACAGTCATTCAGACTGTCTGGCAAGAGTAAGTTCATGCAAAGCTTCGGAGGGAAAGGGGTTATGTTGGGAGTAGATGGGGCGTTGGGGTGCTGATGATCAGGATGGATTGTTTACGTGTATGAAATTATCAAAAAATGAATAAATTACATTTCTTAAAAATTGTTTAAAGCATTTGGTGGCACATTCTTGTAGTCCAGACCCTCAGGCAGGAGACTGAGAATTGGAGGTCAGCCTGGGTTGCACACTAAGTCCCTGTCTGAAAACAGAAACATACCCTGGGCCCCTTGTGTCCTCCCCATCAGGTTGTGCAGGGACAGGCAGCTGGAAACTGGTGAGGTGGGGGAAGGTAGACCTGTTCCAGAGTAGTCCATTGCTACAAGGGCTGTGGGACTTCACAGAGACAGTCACGTCAGCTAGTCTGTCAACAAAGCCACAGGCTTTCAAGTATTAACATCGTCCTTGCTATGTTTGAATCAATTTGTCCTCTGCCTTCCCCACCCTCAGTACCCTGATCTCGTGTGGCCCTGTCCTTCAAACTCCTTTCCGCTCCCTTGTCCTTTTGTCCCATCTGTCTATCCTCACCCCTGGTTATTACTGATTTCCTCCTGAGACTTTTAAGACCGCACCGGTTTGCTTAACGTTACACATTTGAAGGAGTGTAAACGACCGGCAAATAGAATTAATCAGACCAGCTTTAATATAAAATATTCCGCTTTAATAAGGGGAAGGAAAGGGGGGAGCTTACAAAGCCAGGGTTCCAGCGAAGAGCAGCAAACAGAAAAGGTGGGGAGCACACCTGCCAGATTTATAGGTAAATATTGGCCTAAGGGGTACCCCTCCTACAAACAAGGTGATTGGCTGGGGCTTCCCCTTCACACATTATAGGTTGGGATCTCTACATGAGGGAAAATGGGAAGATTTTCTTCTTTTATACCCATTTTTTTGCAAATTTCATTTCCTTTTTCTTCACAACTAAAGTGTGTTCTGATGTGTGTACATTATCACATTTTTGTTGTCTGTTCACTGTTGATAGACAACTAGATTGGTTACATGTCCTTGCTACTTTGGAAACAGAAACACTGATGTGCAAATGTCTGTTTGCTGTATATGGAGCCCTTAGGTCTAGACCCAGGAGTGGTAGAGCCTGGGTCGTGGTAGAGCTGGTTTTAATTTTTTGAAATACCTCCATGATTTCTATAATGGATGTAGCTAGGATAATGGTCTCTCTCTCTCTCTCTCTCTCTCTCTCTCTCTCTCTCTCTAGATATGTGCACAGGTTTCTCTGTAGCTCTGACTATCCTGGAACTCAGTAGACTAGGCTGGTCTGGAACTCAGATCCACCAGCCTCTGCCTCCTGGGTGGTGGAATTAAAGGTGTGCATCACCACTGCCCACCTGAACGATTTACAAAAAATACTTGGGGGACATGTGTCTGTGCTTTAGAGAACTCATTGTATTAGCCCATTTGTTTGTCAGAATTGCTTTTAATTTGTCTTAGTTGTTTGTAAGTTCTAGATATTAGCCTTCTGAGTATACTTGGTAAAGATTTTCTCCCATTTTGTGGGCTGTTGATGTCTTTTGATATAAAGAACATTTAGCTTCATGTAGCTCCTGCCATTTCTTATCAAGGCTGGTTTTTGTGTTTTTGGAATAATGTTTAGAAAGTTCTTCCATACACTAAACATCTTAAAGAGATGTGTTTTCCCGGAGCAGCTTCAGGTTTTAAATTAAGGTCTTTGATCTGCTGTGCATTGATTTCTTAATTACTTTTGGGCACAGAGTCCTTCACTGTAGCTGAGGGTTATCAATGTTCTGTGTGTGTGTACGCCTGCAGGCCAGAAGAGGGCACCAGACCTCATTACAGATGGTTGTGAGCCACCATGTGGTTGCTGGGAATTGAACTCAGGACCTTTGGAAGAGCAGGCAATGCTCTTAACCGCTGAGCCATCTCTCCAGCCCCACTGAGGGTTATCTTGAGTCAACTGTAGACTGGGCTGGCCTTGATCTCACATACACTCTTGGCTTTCTAAGTGCTGGGGATAAAGGCACATGTCACTGTGCCTAGCCCTGGGTGAAAGATGGGGGTAAAATGATCAGACATGGGTGAGAAGAAAACACGGGACGCTAACAAACCCACTTAGGAGTTTATTAGGAGGGAACGTGCACACGCCTGGGAAACGGTGTACAGGGAGAGTAAAGGTGGCGTGTCCAGCTTTTAAATGCTGCCTAGCACATGTGCACAGAGGGTTGGTGTGACTATGTCACGCTGATGCTGGGCGACCCACACCTAGCTCATATGTACAGGGGGTTGGCATGCCTGTCACACGCTTGATGGAGGAAAGTCATTGGCTAATCAACTGATTGGCCTTGATAGGTTAGAACATAAGTGGGTGGAGTAAACAGAACAGAATGCTGGGAGGAAGAGGAAGTGAGCTCAGACGCCATGCTCCCCTCTCCCGGGCAGACATGATGAAGCTCTGACCCAGGATGGACATAGGCTAGAATCTTCCCGGTAAGCACACCTTGGGGTGCTACACACAATAGAAATGGGCCAGGCAGTGTTTAAATGAATACAATTTGTGTGTTTATTTTGGGGCATAAGCTAGCCAGGTGGCTGGGAGCAGGGCGGCAGGAATGCAACCCAAAGCTCCCCACAACACACGCTGATGACAGGCGACCCATGCCTGGCACATGTGCACACGGGGTTTGCGTGACTGTCAAACGCTGATGACACATGACAGGCGACCCACGCCTAGCGCATGCACACGGGGTTGGCATGACCGTCACACGCTGATGACAGACGACATGCATGTGCGCACAAGGGCTTTAGTTGAGTCACATGTGGATCATGCTGGGCGTGACCAAGGGTCCAATCACCTGTGCCTGCCTTTAGAAGCCAGAAGTGCGGGGTCTGAAGAAGCATGGGATAAAACTGGACTCGTTGAACATAGTGAACAATGAGGACTACTGAGAAATCAAGAACAATGGCAATGGGTTTTTGATCCTACTACGTGTACTGGCTTTGTGGGAGCCTAGGCAGTTTGGATGCTCACCTTACTAGACTTGAATGGAGATGGGTGGTCCTTGGACTTCCCACAGGGCAGGGAACCCTGACTGCTCTTTGGGCTGATGAGGGAGGGGGACTTGATCGGGGGAGGGGGAGGGAAATAGGAGGCGGTGGTGGGGAGGAAGCAGAAATCTTTAAATAAATAAAAATGTAAAAAAAAGCCAGAAGTGCAGCCGTAACCGTGGCTGAATAATTACAGGGGGTCTATTGCCATTATTGTCATTCTTGGCAGATGGATATCTAGTTTCTAGCACAGTTTTGAATTGTTAATATGGTTGACCTTTCCAGTAAATAATCGGGAGTCAGATCTTGCGGGTAGGACTGTGAAAGATGAGAGAACAGAGCAGCAACACTTGCTTCCTACATCTACCCTCCCTCCTCCTCTGCTCTGCCTCACCTCTTCCTGTCTCCTGGGTACCGTCCTCCTAACCTGGGGTCGGCTCAGCTTGTGGTTTAGATCCGCCCTCTGACTCCAAGCAATCTTTATCAGAATACAATCAAAATATCTCATAAAAAGTGAGTGTTTTGACTAATATATACAAATGTATTCAACATACACAATAACTACATACAAGTATATAAGGCAAGAATTAATTAGCAGTGTCTAATCCATTTGGTTTCAACAAATTATGATAAAATCCTCTTATTCTGTCTTGGTGAGTCCTCCCCAGGGTTCCTTTGTAGGCCTAGAATATCTGACTGTTGTGAAGGAGGGTTTTTAAGGACAGTCCCACCTTGCTTTGGCAAAGTTTGGGAGTTGCTCTTCTGTGTCCTGCTTGTCCGGATTGGACAGACACTATCAGCAGCCAAGGTACAGACAGCCTCTTGCCCAGTGGCTAACTTTTGCCACAAAGTAAACCAGCAGGGACTTTTCTTGGACCACCATCATCTTCTCTGAAGTAGATGGTTGCTGCTAGGAGCAGATGTGTCTCGTTGTCATAATATTTGTTGCATAAGCTTTCTGTGTTGCTTGTTTCTGGTGCTTTTGTCATAAATGGCTATAACTTTGTCAGTTGTTTTCCAGGTCTGTATGATACGATTTGACATTCATTTCTCACCATGTCTGTAATGACTATACTTATACTATAGCTTTCCTACTTTACCTACACTACAGATCCCATTTCTTTTTTTACCTCATTCAGAGGGCTCTGTTTCCATGCTCCTTACACCTGCTCAAAGCTCTCAGTAGACCTCACAGATTCTTCATCCTGAATCTCCTCAGAGGTTTTGGCCAAATTCTCTAGTTCTTCACTTTTACATCACTGTTGAGAAGAGTGTCTTTGACTAAACGCCATAGTGTAATGTTGCTATGGTCCTTGCTCTTTTAGGGCATTTTACCTGCTCCTAATCAGGAGTATTAAAGCTCCCTGATTAATAGTGATGCCTTATTTCGTTAAAAGAACTATCAATTAGTAAGTCAGTACTTGAACTGAATTACTAGCACCATCTTCAGTTCACTCTTAGCGTCAATATCTTACCTGCTGCTCAGCTTTCTGAGGGCCATCTCTCAGGGGTCCCTACTTCCCAGTCTCGGAGGGACAGTTTGTCCAGCCAGGCACTGGAGATTAAAGAGCGTTAGAGACGTGGGTCGTTTGTGAGTACAGAATGCCATTTATTCGAAATTAGAGGAAGCGTTATATACCTAACTGCTGCACACTGGAAATTACCAGGCTCAAGACGGAACAAACAACTCCCCTGTAGATACCCACCAGGGTGGGCAGAGCGAGCACAGAGGAGCAAAGGAGATGTTTTGCCAGAAACAGCAGGCTGTCCTCAATATTAACAGTTTGAGGAGGGGTCAGCCTGTGGGCCCTACAAAGAGACCTAGAGGTGCGATCTGCCGGGGAAGAAAAGGCTGGAATTGCAGAAAGCTGCCTCACAGATCCGATTGATTGCGTCGGTTTCCATGGGACTAGCGGTAGCGGTGGCAGGGATGGAACAGAAGGATTGCGAGCGAGAGGAAAAGAGCGTTTTGATATACGTGGGAAAGTGGCACCAGCGGACACCAGCAGAGTGTTACAGATTGGTGACAGATAGCTTGAGGGAAAGCGGGGCCGGTGGGACACTGGCAGAGCACTCATGGGTCAGTGGCTGATAGTGTG